GGACCTTGACCTGGAATATGTTCAGTTCAATGTCACCAAAGTGTTGGCTCTGCTCAACAAACGATTTGCACGCAAGAAGGGGTGGTAAACGCTAAATGCGCGCCCACCTCGGTATGGCTTATACCTCTTTTATGAAGACTTATGTGACTGGGTAAGGGGTTACAGCCTACAACCTCTGCCCAGACGTCTCGGCTGGCTGTGAACGCCTGCAGCTTAATATTTTGATGATCTGATGGATACGGAACCCCCGTACTCAATGTCTAACTCTCCATCTTCGTCCATTCTCAAACTCGAGATGGACTGAATGAATGCTCAGCGATGATCTCGACCATTCTCCCTGTGGAACTCCAGGGGAATTTGTGTCTAGTGTGAATGCCATCGATACACGAACATATGCACCCGCTGGCTCGGGCATGCCATCGGTTTTGATCCTCTCAGGATCAGGATCTTTTCCTTTGTTCCTTTGTTCCTTTGTTCCTCTCTTGCTTTTTTTTGTCGTGAATTTTTGCAATTTATACCCAGCGCATAGTTGTTGCTCACATGTCTTGTTCGGCCAATCTGTCCAATAATCCTATCTGATCTATTTTTTCATTTATTTTATGTTTATGTTGCCATCACCGCTCGGGCCTTCTTCAGGTTCCCCATGCGCTGTGTATAATATCATCTTGCTCATGTTTCTTGCCACGCGAGGTCTTTTGGATTCAATACCCGTTTTTTGATATATATTTTTTGCGTCTTTGGCTTGTACAGCACAGCAAAACAACTATATCTAGAAGCACGTTCAATTTTATTTGGGATACCATAACATTGATCCTCATATCGCCGATCCCTAGTAAGTGCCGGTCAAGTTTTCTCCTTAGCTCCAGACTAGGGCGACTTGGATGATCTTTTCGACACCGCCTCGTGCCCCTCTCACCCCCTTGAGCTAGTTGCCTACGCTGATCGATCCATGCAGAACTCAATGGCAGATGTAACCCAGTGACCAGGCCGCTTCAAGTTGAAAAGGGTTCCAAACCTTGGAATTGTTGTTTCCAAGGTTGCTTGCCCGCCAGCGGCCATATGAGTAGTAGCACTATGAAGTATGCATCTTCTCTGTGGAGCAACACGGTCTGTAAGAATACTGACGAGTACCTAGGGGGAATCGACCAGGATAATTTCGTGTAATTTTTATCCTTTTTCTCTCTCTTTTTCCTGATTTCCAAGGTTGCTTCCTGCTTCTTTTCCCCTGTTTATTTGGCCACCATGGGAGTCCTTGGAGGCCTAGGGAACTTCACGTCAATAGCCCAACATAGTATTCACCCAATCCACTTGTCATTTAATTTCTCCATTATGTACTCGTACCTCCAAATAAATTAAAGCCCGACCCAGTAACCAACGAGACCCATCTGGGCCTCTCTCCGTACTGTTGGTTACCCAACGGGCGATCCCCCGTTCATATTGAAGTGGCCACTTACGCCAATTCCCGTCCGCCTTCCTGCATTTCCTCCCCCTCCACTTTTTGACGTCGCCCCTCTCTCCCCTCCTCTCCTCTTCCTCTCTTTCCTCCTTTCATACCACTCACACCTTCACCATGGCCGAGCAAAACTTGCCCACCGACTCCAAGTACGACCAGTACGACTTTCCCACCACCGCGCCGGACGCTGTGCCTGGCCACCCCGGCCACACCACCCCGGAACATGACGCCAAGGTGCACCAGCTGCGGACAATCCTCGAGCAGGAGGGCTACACCGAACGCCTGGATACTCTGACTCTGCTCCGATTCCTGCGCGCTCGCAAGTTCGATGTCAACCTGGCCAAGGAGATGTATGTGGCCGCCAATTCCCGCGAGCGCCGGTGCTTCACTTCTCTGAACAGGAGCTGGATTGCCCGCAACACTTGCATTCGTCGCAGATGTGTCTAATACTGATTACTTGTAGGTTCGTGAACACCGAGAAGTGGCGCAAGGATTTTGGCACCAATGAGCTGCCTGCCACCTTCGAATACCCTGAGAAGCCCGAGGTATTCCAGTACTACCCTCAATACTACCACAAGACTGATAAGGTGAGTGTCTGGCTACTTTGATCGTATTCATATCTTCATGTGAGACGACTCACAACAGGGGAAGTAAGAAGACTAATCGCAATTTCATGCTATAGGATGGCCGTCCCCTCTACATCGAGAAGTTGGGCAAGATCGATCTCACGGCTATGTACAAGATCACCACCAGTGAGCGCATGCTGCAGAACCTCGTCACCGAGTACGAGAAGATGGCCGACCCCCGTCTACCCGCCTGCTCTCGCAAGGCTGGTAAGCTCCTCGAGACCAGCTGTACCGTCATGGATCTGAAGGGTGTCGGTGTCACCAGCATCCCCTCCGTTTACGGATACGTGCGCCAGGCCTCCGAAATCTCCCAGAACTACTACCCCGAGCGTCTGGGCAAGCTGTACATCATCAACGCCCCCTGGGGCTTCAGCTCCGTCTTCAGTGTCGTCAAGGGCTTCCTGGACCCCGTCACTGTCAACAAGATCCACGTTCTCGGCAGCGGATACCAAAAGGAGCTGCTGGCTCAGGTTCCCGCCGAGAACCTTCCCGTCGAGTTCGGTGGTTCCTGCAAGTGTGAAGGTGGCTGTGAGCTGTCTGATATGGGACCTTGGCAGGAGGCTGAGTGGGCTCGCCCCCCCTGCGTGGGCCGCTAAGAAGGAGGCCGCTGCCACTGCCGCTGCCGCTGCCGATGCCGATGCCGATGCCGATGCCACCGTCCAGAACGAGGACAACGGCCCTGAGAAGAAGGACGCCAGCGAGGAGGGCGTCCAGACCAGCGCATAAATTGCTCGATATAGACTCTTTTCATTCGTCCAACCATTCGCATATACCGGGCGCCTGCATCGCTCTTGTGCCAATGACCCTTCGTGCTAAATTTAAGAAGAGGGACACTCGACCAGGATTTGCAGGAGAAGTTTCTCGCCGGGGTGAGATCCAGCTGTCTTTTCTTTTTCCTCAGCTCAACTGTCAATTGCGGAGTACGACTTAATTGTGTTCCACTTTGGCATCTCGAATTTTCACGTGGCAATCCAACGCCTTCTGGAAGTTTTCAACACATCATCACCGACGACCCAACCACAGCCTGTGGACTCTTTTGCCTTTTGTTTCTTGCTTTTGATCTAGATATCACTGAAAGTTCTTTCCCCTATATTCCTTAAAGTGTTTCAAATATGCGGTTTCACATCCGCTCTCTCAATATAGACGGGAGAAGACAGGATGGTGTGGGGGTGTTTTCAAAAAGCGAGTTGGGAGTGGAGGTGAAGACTTGACTTTTCTTATTCAATCTTTGATTTGGAGTGTATACACCGGAGAGCACATAGCAAAAAACACGGCTGGTAGCCCATGAGATTCACCTTGCTTATTGTAATTTGACACGATGATGTAAAATGTATTGCCTTTGTCAACAAAGAAAATAGACTTGACTCGGTGTTTGAAAGGTCGTTAAATGAGCCCAGAAGAAACAGAAACAATGGTATCATGATTCTCGCGAAGCCCTCGTTACCAAACGCCTTCCCACATTAAAGGACATAAAAAAACACCCCAAGTGAACCCGTTGAATATCCGCGAAAACGCTGGCAGACAGAACTCTTACATCTTCTCGACCACCTCAGCAGCACGCCCGGCCCTCTCAGCTTTGCCCACCGTGGTAGCCAGAGCATTACCTTCGGTACCAGGTTCACCGTCAACAGCTCCCTCGCCTTGTAGCCGCTGCAGCGTGCGCAATGCATTTTCATATACATCCGCCACATCACCACTCGCCCAACGTTCCGTCTCTTCCTCCGTGCCTAGCGGTATCTGCAAATCCCATTCTGGGCGTGGCCTCTTTCGATCACCTCGACGTCGAGAGCGCGTTTGTGTCTGACTCTGTGTTTTCGTAGCCGCCCCCTCATCAATATCAACATCCATCGCCTCGGCCTTTTCAGTCGAAGATCCATTCGGCTGTCCCATCTCTGCGGTTTCTCCAGCTTCGTCAATCTCTTCCCCCTCCTCATCTGCCGCTTCTTCCTCCGTCTTCATGACTTGCGCCAATTGTTGCGCATACTCCTTTGCTGCCTTCCGGGGCGCGTCTCGTCGTAGTTGCGCAACGCCTGTGGTGAGGGATTCTAATTGCGCGTAGAGCGCAGTGACCCGCGAGGCTAGCTCTGAGTCGTAGGGTTCATACTCGACTGTTTCCGGTGCGGTGAATGAGGCTGGGAAGGGGAATTGTGGCGAGGATGAATCGATTCCGTTGATGCTGATTGAGGAGGATGCTGTTGCGAAGGTTTGGTTTATATACTAGATGGTCTTATTAGTCTCTGACCTGGGCTATTTGATGTGCTCAACAGCGTCATTTATCGCCTAGGAGTAATCTTGGTTGACTCACTTCGTTCACTAATTCCTGGACGCGTTCGCGCATCGGATCCGGAGTGTCATCGTCTGTAGCTAAAGGGGGGAAATTGAGATCGAGTTTTTGCCGGGAGAGAGCGACTGCATTTGTGTAGAGGTATGTGAAGTCTGCTGGAGACTGTAGCTCGATCTTGCGATACCCTTGTGCGCCCATTTTAGAGGATGTTGTTTTGGTTGTTGCTTGGGCGGGTTGGATTTGCACGCGTTGGAGGGAAAGGCTTGGCGTTGGTCCCCGCAAACGCAAACGATGTCATCGTTCAACCACTTTAACCTTTGCTTTTCCCTCCAACTTCCAACTTTCCCTTTTCTCCCGAACCTTTTCATTCCTTTAACAGTTCTCATACAACACGCTTCATATTGCTTTACTTTACGTTACTTCCTTTTTGTTGAATTTATACAACCTCACCTTCCTACAAGTACCTGCCTCTCTTCTTACGAGCTTCCTTGCTGCGGGTCAATCAGGCAATGATCCGATCACCGTGAAGATAATGCCTACGACCTCGGCGCTTTGAACTCTGCGTTGGAAGGAAGGCCTCTCAGAGGTACAGGAGCAATTCATGGTCAACACTTTAACGATCATACTTTAAACAACCATGGAGGACACCGCCAGCATTTCTCTGGTGGACAATACCGCCCCTTCGCAACACCTTAGCAGTGGGGATTTGGAATCTTTACGACGATCCTCCACCGTTGCTCGCCAGAACAGTCGACCCTCACGCTTAAACCGTGTATCGGTATCCGGACAGCTTGCGAAAAGAAAATATGCGAAATGGCAGCCCGATCGGCTAGGTGTTACATCCGACAACGAAACCTCCCCGAGCAGAGAATCGTCGCGGGCACGAGGGTCAATCTCTGCGGGAAGTATTGGCGGTCCTCCTGCCAGACAGCCTTCCCATCAAGACAGTGGGCTAGGGTTAAGGGAGAGCGAAACTCTCGACTTGGCACCGACACGCACTCAGAGCCACACCAATGCTACGACACATTCCACGACGACAAATGGACACCCCCCTCCTTCCGATGAGAGAAAGCCGGTTTCGGAGCTGGATATATTATACGAGAATCAGCGCGGTTCATTTGTTTTCGGGATACCTCTTTACTCTCAAGGCTCGCTGCTTAATTTAGATCCCAGTCCTTGGATGACCCAAGACCGACGAGAAAGTCCCGTCAATATAACCAATGCTCAACTGCCAGACCCGAGTTGGGAGTGGTCCTGGCGGACATGGTATGTCGATATGTCTGGCGATGTGGATGAGCAAGGATGGCAATATTCCTTCTCCTTCAGCTCGTCTCAATGGCATGGTACACACCCGTGGTTTCACTCCTGGGTCCGCCGGCGACGCTGGGTTAGGCTTCGACACAAGGCTCCCGAGAGACGTGTTCGTGGTCGGTCGGAATTCGAAAGAGCGCATATGTTGACCGAGGACTATTTCACTATCCATTCTCACAAGGTTCGCAGCCGTGATCAGAGTACGACTGGCCTTTCGAGGGTGGAGTCTGGGTTCTTGAACCGCGTTGATACGAAGGTGGACGAGGAGGTGCATTTGGAGGAGATAGGGGATATTCCGACTTTGATGCATGCCTTGAAGCTTTGCTCTATTGATCGGGAGAAGCTTAACGCCCTTCGCAAGTTTGTTGAGGAGGGCGGCGAGGAGATATATTATTTGAACGACAAGGTTAGTCAGACCATCGCGAATAGTGCTTCTACTGCATTACCCAATACTAATCCCTCGCGGTAGATCACGGAGATCATGTCTATGTTCGTGTTTCAAGCGTCCCGCTGGCAATTCGTCACATATCTTGTTGGAAAGATCCAACAATTATCTCAATTAATTACGGACTCGGATGACAAGGAGTCTGAAAGAATGCAACGGAAGAAAGATAATCTTATCCGGGCAGTGGAATCTGCCAAACAGCATGTTACGGGGCCCGATTTCTTTGCGGATTCCCATGGGGAGTCTGGAGGGGAACTGCTTGGGTTGACACCAATGTCGCAACATAAATACCTGCTATCAAAGCGAGCACAGGCTACTGGTGATCCCTTGATTGTCACAAAGGGCAAGGAGATCAAGGGTATCCCCAAGGCCGCAGAGGTTGGCCGCGAAAATCATATCTATTGATGATGGCCTTGTATATAACATTTGAGCCGTGGATACACGCAACAATCGGCTCAGTCTCGGAATAAGCCTCAAATACGATCAATTGGCATAAAAAGTTGACTGCATTCAAGTTCATTGTAGAGGGTACATACTCGTAGTATACTCAAAGTATTATCAGATCGGAGGCGGTCCGGAGTCGTTCACCGCCTGCCCGTCCCGCGGCGACAATTTTCGGAGTTTGGCTGCTCCGTCCTTCTCAACCGCCAGTGCCAACACCATTCCTCTCCATGCCACGGGTGCTACAGGAGCATTTCTCCCTATGTTCTCGAGTGGCCGCCCGTGTCTAAGAAGGCGCCTGTCTGTTGTCTTGGACAATGTCGCGGCTGGCTCCGATGAACCTCTCCTCTTCCTCTACCCCCGATGGGCCGCGTCGGCTCTGCAAGGCCATCAGACCGCGTCTTTAACGACCACCGCAGCTTCAGCAAATAGATCTCGCACTTCCAACCACTCATTTCCATCGGTGGCCCCTCCCTGCGCCCCTTCTATCTCGGTCCGCCGACAATCGAGCCGATGGTTCTCCCCAAATGCTGCGGGTAAAGACGGCGATGGGAGCAGCACGGAGGTGCCACTTGCTGGCAATGAGACAATCAATTCGAGCGAGCAGCACATTGACAATGTAAGAGACGGATCAATCTCTGCCAACCAGGCGGAGCCTACTATCGAGCCGAAGCGCCCTGTCGGCTTATTTGCTGATATCGAAACCGACACACCTGCGCGAGGTCCTATTACGTGGAAAAGCAGAAGGCGAAATAGACATCGCCCGTCTTCACGGCCCTTGGCTGCCCCCACGCGCGATTTGACTACTCGAAAGGCCGATTCGATAGCTAGGCTGTCCGTCCGGGATCGGAAGAAGCTGCGTTACGGAGCTTACATCAAGGGACGGTCGAAGAACAGCGAAAAACTCTCATACTATCCGGTCGGGGGCTGGGATTCAATGAAGGACATATTGGAACGACAAGCACAAGATCCACGAGTGGCGACCCGAAGGAGTGCCAAACACAAGGAATTGCAGGTACCCGAAGAGACCATTGGGATGATGTCTGGAATTACCGATACGGCAATCGCAGAGAACATCTTTTATATCAATGTTCGAAACGGATGCCGCGTACAGATTCTGCACCCAAGAGACGGTGATGGCCTCCACCGTAAGGTTATACTATCGGGCTCGGAGCGTGTGATGGAGCTTGTTGAAGACCGCATCAAGCGCGTCCAAGCTCAGCAGGAAATCGGAGACCCTCTCGTCGAGATTTCGAAGCCTCTTTTCCCGGTTCTCAGCTCAATGGAGTCAATGCGGCGCAATAAACTTCCAGTGCCCATGATTCGTGGAGTGTGGATTGAGTCAAAATTGGACCGCATGAGCTATCGGGAACTCCTCGATCTTGGCTCATCTATCGGTACCGTGAAAGAATTTGCCGAGCGCATTCAGGATTTAATAAGGGCATGTGAACTACCTTCAGGCGAGCGTACAGGCAGCAAGCCTCAGCCCGCCCAACGCGGCCAGGTTGTACGAAACATTTTAAAACTCTTCCGACAAGATTCGAACAAAGAATACTTTTCTTCCGCAGCTTTGAACCAGACATTGGCATTCTTATGCGATCAAGAGCTTCTAAAGCTTGCGAGAGCGGTCTTTCTTCGAGCAGAACATGTCGCAACTGCGGACACCTACAATATCTTTCTCCGGACCGCAGCTCGACGACAAGATTTGAAGACATTCCGGCGATTCCTAATCTCTATGGACCGAGCGCATATTCGCCCGACTCCGGAGACGTGGCTTGTACTGCTCGGGGCAGTGGTCACCCCCAAGGCAAAGGCGTCTCTCATCGCGCACCTAGTGCAGAAGGGGCATATGGCCGAGACAAGAGTGACTCGTACTGCGCTCCAGCTTACAATCCAGGATTCTCTTTTGGTGCATCTGGAGAATGGCCAGAGTATGGATTCGTTCCTTAACCTGATGGTCAAAACACCAGAAGCCAATTGGTTCGGCCCATCGATTCTCTCTCAGATGTTCAGTGTCATTGCCCGCCGGGGGGACTTCACCGCTGCGAACATCCTTCTCAAATTCTGTCTTACGAATCAGCTTCCACTCGGAAGTAACCAGCTCACCTCCCTGTTGACCATGTGTCGCAAAGATGTCTTCTCCGCCGTCGACTACCTACTTCCATTACTCCGACAGTCCAACTTCCAGCTTTCGCGGCAAAATATGGACTTTTTCTTTCGAATCGCTTATAAGAGCGAAAAATACAATATATGCCGGGTTTTGTGGCGGTACGCTTGCATTTATGGACTAGTGACCTACAGAATGAAGGAGATTGTCCTGAGCTCACTCTGCCGCAATGTCTCCTACCATCATTTCGCCAATGACTTCAGGAAAGGTTGGCAATTGTATGCAGGCAAGGTCATCGTTGGACTCGAGCTACACTTTCCTCGCGGGCCAGTGTGGCCAAAAGATATCACCGATTTGATTCCCTCGGGGTTCAGCGACAAGCCCCTTGATTTCCTCTCGTCTGGTTTCAAAGCCCAGGGCACAGAACGCGACCTCCAGCGCCGCGTGGCCTGGATGCTCATCCATCGTGACCTTGGATTATTAGGGAAATCCCGCTATGCCCCAGTACGACCCCTATCCGTCATGCTCGAGTCGGCCGCCATCCTTGATGCTAATTGGGAGCGCCAACCGAGGAGCCTGGATTGGTTTTTGGACAATGCCATATATGTGCCAATCAAGCGACTACCTTCGGAAGATCGACACCCTCTCTCTTCGACCTCTCTCTCCTCACGCCATGACCTTGCGTCTCTCGATTTATACTCTGCTAAAAGTGCACTGCGGGTTTAATTCAATCGAGCAGGTCCTGGTCTTGTATCTATCATATTTTCATTGGTTGCATTTTCTTGTTGTCCTGTATATATACCTCTTGTACATTATTGAAAATAGAGACCATCATAGACCTGAACATGATTTATGTCACAGCAGACTGTGTCCACATTTCATCGTGGATGAACAGGCTCATCACCAATCTCCTCCATCTTCTCCTCCAATAATTTAGTCATATGCACAACAACATCTGCATATTTACTCTCATGGTAACAATTAAACAGCTCCAATGGATCCTCCTCCAAATCAAATAGCTCCCATTCTTTCTCCTCCCCACCAGGCCTCGTTCCCTCGATTCCAAAATCCTCATTATACCAATAAATCAACTTATACCGCTGATCCCGCACCGCATAATGCGCATACGCCTCATGGATCACATCCCGATGCATCCAGTATCGATGATACGCAACTTGCTGCCAGTCGACGGGTGTATTCTGTTTCAGCAGGGGCGGAAACTAACACCCTGCATGTACGACGGTTTTCGACAAGCGGCGAAATCCAACCAAGTCGGAGCAAAATCGACATTACTGATAATATCATTGCAAATGGATCCGGGAGCAATTTCAGCCGGATACCGGATCAAGAAGGGCATGTTGAAGCTCTCTTCGTAGACGAGTCTCTTATCGAACCAGCCGTGTTCGCCTAGGAAGAATCCCTGGTCTGAGGTATAGATAACCATGGTGTTCTCGGCTAAACCCTCGCTCTCCAGGAAGTCCAGCATGCGGCCGACATTGTCGTCGATGGACTGAATCGTGCGTAGGTAGCGCTGCATGTAGCGTTGGAATTTGAATTCGGCTAGTTCGTCGGGAGTAGAGAAGGTGAAGACTGTGCCGTCGTCTTTGTCGATTAGTTTGAGCGTGGACACATCTTCGGGGGCAGGGATTTTGCGGTCGTGGAACCACCATTTATCTAGCATTTTTGTTCCGACGGTGGAGGCTCCGCCGTCTGGTTGGGCGAGGCCGAGGTCTGTATAGGTTAGATCTTCGGCGACGCGCATCTTTGCGACGGAAGCTGCTTTGGCCCGGTTCTTGTAGTCGTCTGTGAAAGTATCTGGGAGGCGGACGGGGTCATTGTATAGATGTTTGTGTTTTGGGTCGCATTCCCAGCTGCGGTGTGGTGCTTTGTGGTGGCACATGAGGAAGAAAGGTTTATTCTCGTCTCTGGATTTAATCCAGTTTAAACTCTTGTCTGTGATGATATCCGTGGCATACCCGGGTTCTCGATGGGTGCCGTTGGGACTGATGAATTCCGGGTCGAAGTATTCACCTTGTCCCGGGACGACTTCCCAGTAGTCGAATCCGGTTGGTTCATGATCTTTCCCTTCACCGAGGTGCCATTTTCCGACCATTGCTGTTTGGTAGCCACCTGTGCGGAGGTGCTTAGCGACGTTTGGGATGTGCTTGTTGATTTTGGAGTCGAGGGTCATGACTCCGTTGACGTGGTTGTGGGTTCCCGTGAGGATTGCAGCCCGTGATGGGGTACATATGCTGTTGGTCACATAGCAGTGATTAAATCTCATGCCTTCAGTAGCGAGGCGATCGAGATTGGGGGTGTGGTTGATTCCTGCGCCGTAGCAGGAGATTGATTTGGCGGCATGGTCATCGGCCATGATGAAGATGATATTAGGGCGTGAATCGGTCGCCATCCTGAAAACACAGCTTCAATTTTAGTAGCAAGAAATTTTTGGAGAGGATTTGAAGCAGAGGATTAGTGGGATTTGGGGTGAAAGTCCGCATTTAAATGTTGGAGTGGCCATCGTGGTCCTCATAGCTCTGAACATACTTGTGGGCGGGGTCTTGCATAGCGCCATATTTACAGGATATATCTCTTTCTAATAGGATGAACTTGGTTAGTATATCAATTGATGCTCATTTATTTGCGAATGAGAGTACAATTAGAGGGTGAGTCGCGTGAGCTGGGGATAGCTCTGCCCCGCAGATCCACAACGTTGCGGTTGTCGGCGGCTGTCGGTCTTTGCGATGGCGAATTGGTTGGATTTGGGGTGAAAGGGTTTCTCTTCATTGATGAATAGATACTTTAATCAATCTAGTTGTAATAGTACCAGTTGCTGGGATCATGATATTAAATTCGCACTGATGTCAGTGCTCCAATGCTCTCTACTACCACCTGGGCAGGGACCAGCAATATCCATGGATATATATTCCTAGGTACCAAAAGCCATGTACCCGTGGACAGTGAAAAGTGACACCAAACAACTCCAAGGCTTGAACTTGAACTTGAAACTACCGGTCCCTACAGGCTGAGAGCAAGATACTGGTAATATTATCAAGCAATACGACATGAGAACTATTTTCGTTTTAAAATACGGGTCAGATACCGTAGTCTGGCCGTAGCACGGCGGTATTTTCGACCAATACTATTTCAGAAACATATTTCGAACTTAGATCCTGACATGGTACTCCGTACTAGGTATCCCATTTGCTAGATGACCGCCTGGATTTGCCACTGGGAATAACTTTGATAGATTCCAACCAAGCTCATTTGTTCTGATCTCTTTGGGTCGGAACGCCATGACAACTCTATCTCAAGGTTAGTATAGTAGCCTCATACTAACTCAAGATACTAGTAGTGCTGATTGCATAATTGCACACGATCGTAAATGTGATCAACAGGGTCTGAGGCTATGGATAAACCGACGTTAGCCTAATGCTAATGCCGCTCGTGGCTATGACCAACCCAGTGTCCACTTGTGGCATGCATCGAGATCGGCGTACCTGCATATATCTACATCCATTCCATACTATGTACTCTGTAGTATATGTAAGAAAACCTGAAGCAGAGAATGAGAGATATATGTTCAACTTGTTTCCACATGCCATGGCATGGGAACTTGAAGTCAATTAGCCCAGGCCCGTCTAGCCCATGATCTATAATGTATACTAGTATAATGTACACGGGAATGCCGACTTCGCTTAATTGGAATACACCGAGACTGGGCAAGGAAGGCGCATCTGGGCGAGAGAAACGTGGAACTGGATTGCCTCGCGTGGCTTGACCATTTTAGCTAGGAAACCGAGACACGCGACAGATGGAAAGTCTACAAGTCTACGAAGTCATGGTTAACCACGAGGTTGAGGGGCGTGGGGGAATGGCAGTCGGTGATTGGCTGGGGAAGGGATTAAACCGCGGCCCCAGACGGCCAACCCGCCCAGCACGGGGGTCAATAGAGGATGGTGATTGGTCAATGGTGGAGTACCCGATGGAGTACTCCGGAACTACTGTAGACTCCCTGGTCGAAGTAAATACGGATTAGGATTAGGATAACCCTGGGGTGGAAACAACGAAAGTGACTTGCTCATGGCAGGAACGACCACAAGGCAGGAACAAGCAATGGCGAAATATTGACAAGCATCGCCAAGATGCTGGGCATCGTCTTGGTCTTCGTCTTGGCTGCAAGCCATCAATATCAGATCCATTCAAGTCATCTTCCAAGGTTGCTACTACTTCATACATTCATTTCACTTCACTTCACTTCGTTCGAACTCGGCTCCTACCATGGACATTAAAGGTATTCGTACGGAGTATGTATATCACACCCCCGGTGGAGCAACGCTAACACTGATACATGCTTTGACCCTCCTGTTCCAGAAGCTCTCGCCCCCCCCCATCCATTGCATTATCCTCTTTCCATCAGCGAATAGCAGCATCCAGAACTCTCTCAATCAGCTCGTGATCCATTACGGCCAATGCCCATCCCGAGCAGGTGCGCCCAAAGGAATCTCTCGCCCCGAACTAGCGTTGGCATCAGAGATTACTCGTCTCCACCCGACATCTAGCGCATGCTTCCCACGCGTGCCATTGCCAGATCCTCATTCGTCCTGTGCGCTGACGGGCGGTTGCTACTGTGGTTCGTGGCCTGCTGGTATGGCCTGTCTCTGTCGGTTCCAACGCCCGTCGTAAAAAAGGATAAATATGCTTCGTATCCCTCCCGACTGCCAATCTTTTCTGAATTGTTGCAAGTCTCTCATTCCTCCCCTTGTCTGACCCTAGGCTAAGGCCTCTTTTCATCCATTGTTCCGGTTGTCATTGACCTGTCCGCCACAATGGTTCACATGGAGACTCCCAAGGAGGCTCTCACTCACTTCGAGGAGATGGAGATCCACGAGAAGGCCGCCTTCGACGAGATCATCCGCCCCGCTGATGCCTATGCTCCTAATGGCACTTACTGGGCAGACCTCCCTATCGGCCAGCGTGTGAAGTTTTGTATCTCTCAGGATGGTACCGAGGCTAAGAAAGAGTTTGCTTGGTTGTGGGATATGTTCAAGACCGATCCTCTGTCTCCCATCAGCTACTACTTTAAGAATGCCGTCCTTCCTGGAGCCGGTCTGGGTCTCGAGGGGTATGTCTCCCCTAGGCAATGATGCTTCGTGGAATATGATATTGGTGTCTCGATACTGACTCTTCATCTATCTAGTTACGTCCTGTTTTCTATCAGCAACGTCAGCTCCCTGTTCAGTGAATCCTTCGCCTCTTGCTGGAAGACCTACGAGGTTTGCGACAAGAACTGGATTGCCGCCATCAACTACCTCGAGGTTGCGGGTATTATTGTCGGTCAGATCCTCGTTGGTTTCTTGGGTGACTGGTTCGTACACACCCTCAAATTTCATTCCCTACCAAGAAAATACTGACGGGTATGAATAGGATCGGTCGTCGTTGGGGTCTCATTCAAGATGCGACCATCATGTTCATCGGTCTTATCATGCTGACTGCCGCCTGGGGTGTCACTCAGAACGGTTGGATTATCTGCTACGCCTGGTCTCTCTTCTTCTACTCCATCGGTGTCGGTGGTGAATACCCTATGACCGCCACCATTGGAATGGAGAATGGATATGGTTCCGGTAAGGTGACCACCTCCCAGGATCGTCTGCACCGTGGTCGCTCCGTCGTTGGAGCTTTCCTGATGCAGGGCTGGGGTCAGTTTGCCAACCAAGTTCTCCTCATCCTGTTGCTCCTGATCTTCCACCACGGTAGCGGTAGCCCTCCCTACTCCACCGTCGCTACCCAGTGGACCTACCGTGTCTCATTTGCTATCCCCGCGGTTGGTACTGCTTGGCTTGTTTACTACCGTGCCTATCACATGAAGGCGGCTAGCAAGCAGCTCGAGGCTCAGAAGAAGAAGGCCGCCGTTACCGGATATGATATGGAGTCTCTGCGCCTGACCTTCAAGCACTTCGGACCCCGTGTGTTTGCTACCGCCAGTGGCTGGTTCGCTAATGACGTTTTCTTCTATGGTAACAAGCTGTTCCAGAAGAAGTTTATCGGTGTTATTAGCCCTAACAGTGATGTTACCACCACCTGGACCTGGAACTTGGTCAACATTGTCGTCTCCCTTGCTGGTTACTACTGTGCTGCCTGGTTTGTTGACACCAAGCTTTATGGTCGTAAGTGGATGCAGATTGTCGGCTTTATGCTGTGCTTTATCCTCTTCGTCATCCCGGCTTTCAAGTACGACTACTACGTCAAAGCCGAAAACATCCACTCTTTCCAGACCATGTACTTCCTATCTTCTTTCTTCAACCAATTCGGCCCCAACTGCGTTACCTTCCTTGTCGCCGCCGAAGTCTTCCCCACCCCCATCCGTGGAACAGCACACGGTATCTCTGCCGCCGCCGGAAAACTCGGAGCTCTGATTATTGCCGTCGTCGGTTCCTACACCTCAGTCCAACAACAATTCCTTATCGTCCCCTGGTTTGGTCTCGCCGGTGCCCTCATCACCTACATCTGGCTCCCCGACACCACCGGTCTGGATCTGCGTGAACAAGAACGCCGCTGGCAATTCATTCGTGAGGGCCGCGAGCACGAGTACCACGGCCCCGCCATCCACAGCAAGCATCTCTCTGTCTGGGAGCGCTGGACAGGCAAGGGCAAGCTCTACGACGCAGACCTTGACTACAAGATGAAGGTGGCGGAGTTCCGTGCCGAGTGGGAGGCCGCCATGGCCATTCGCGCCGAGGAGTCTGAGACTGATCTTGGTATCGATGATATCGATGACAACCTCCTCCAGGGCTCGATGCACAAGTACTTCGAGCGTACTAGCCCTGTCATCCGTAGCATGAACAAGGATGCCCCTGAGCCCCTGTCCCTGCCTGACGCTGCCAATGAGAAGCAGGAGCCTATGTCTCACGAGTAGAGAGATGTGTTGATGTGTGATGTTGTTGGTATAGACTACTTTCTTTTATTTGTTGAACATTCTTTTGGAATAACCATTTATGGTTGTATATTCATGATTTTTTTGTATAAAACATACCCTGTGATGAGACCTGTTAAGGTCTTTGAGTTTAATTTATCAGATTGGAAATAATAGCGAGGCTCATTCAGCTTTTGAAATGGCCATTCAAATCCCTCTATTATTCAACTTGAAGTTGAAGATGACTCCTTCGCAACAAGTTTAAATTCAACTTATGGAGTAAATCATAGATGAGTTTGGTATCGGTAATGGAATGCCAGACGATAATGATAAGACGGAAATTGTTTTTGATTTTGACACATAGTACATTTAATGCGCTATCAGGCACGGAGAAGGTGCCACTGCCCACCAGGGCGCCATAATATAATCATGCTATGGAGCATAGCTGAGCTCAGTTCAATAAACTAAATACAATCGTAGGGTAGCTAATAGGAGTGCACGCTAGTATCACTCAAAGCTCATCTCATGCAGGCGGAATTATCTGTGTCCGAACTTGGAAGAATTTATGTTCCACCTTCTCTCCCCCGACAACCAAGCTAACCGCGTACTCCACATCGTTGTGATGTCCAATATTGTAGGTATTGAAATCCGGCCAAATATCAAGAATCGGTCGCTTGATACGCTGACCTGCGTCGCAACCTAAAGAGAATCATGTTACTACTAGTACTATTATACATAGTATAGCAGCTGAGGCATAGCAAATTTGAGTAAATCTAATAATCTATAGGAATTGCAGGTTCTTCTTCACATACTCATAAAGTTCATGTCATTTTATTACCCCCCAGGGCTATCACGCCATCGGACAATTAATTGAGTACATCGATGGTATGGTTCTACTCACGCTATTTTATATTATTCTGGCGTAATAAATCGGAAAATTCTCCCCGCATTTTTGAACACATAAGATCCGATGTTCTGCTGAGAACTCGTTTTGTATCCGCCGTTTTAGACGAGCTTCTACATTTCATTTCAATTGATCTAACTGACAGCAATATGGCTCACCTCGAGGCACGAAAGCATATCTCGCCAGATTCGGGATTTCCCATCACTCTTCACCCCCATTTTAACCCTAAGATAAAGGACCATGTTCCTCCTGAATCTACCCGCCAATTGATTGATCCGCCCCAGGACCGAGCTCACTTCGCTGATCCGGAAAAGAAGGCATTGTTTTCGGCCGCCAAGAGAATTGATCTGACGGAATCCATTGGAACTGTTCTGCAGGATATTCAGCTTTCCCAGTTATCAGAGCAGCAACTGGATGAGCTGGCTCTGTTGGTCAACGAGAGAGGTGTGGTTTTCTTTCGCGAACAAGACTTGACGACTGAACAACAGGTCAAGCTTTTCGAGCATTATGGTAAGACTATTACTGCATTTATATTCCAGACCTAGACTATTAACAGTCATGGTAGGTATTCTCGATAGACATCCAGCTCAGAAGGTGAGGGCTATGCTAGGACATCGAAGGCGCTGTCTTGCTAACTCCCCGCTAGGATCAAAAAGTATTAGATTCCAAGTGTTTTGAATACACCATTGCTAATTTTGTTAATCGCTGCAGTTTGTGATTATCAAAGGTAGTAAGGGGGATCATCGTGATGCTTTGAGCTACACTCCATGGGTAAGTATAACTCTTGAAACTCGGGTCTATTTGAAACTCACTCGAGAAGCCATCGGGCGATTTTCACGCAGATACATCTTTCGAGTTGAACCGTAGGTGTATTTGAGAAACCCACTTCTTGACAAATCTCACCACTCTCTATAGCCCCGTCTTACTCACTTTTGAGAATGGAGGAGCATCCTGAATTCGGTGGAGATACCGCGTGGGTGGGTTATATTATGCAATGGAAACTTGAACTCCCGGTGACGCTCAATAACGGTAAATATGGTTAGGTTTCGCAGTATGGCCTCTATGATGCCCTCAGCGACTCATTTAAGAAGTTTCTTGATGGCCTCCATGCAGTGCATACCTCGCGCTTTCAATGTTTGTCTTGTATTTGCGTTTTGCTACTTTTTATTACAAACACTGACGCTGAACCTAGACGACACAATTCTTGATCTATGGCAGGCCCCGGTAAATCGACCACCCATCGATACCCATCATCCTGCCGTGCGAACCCACCCTGTCACCAGTCTAAAAGCTCTGAATGTGAATCCGGGTTTTGTTTCGGGATTCGCTGAGTTAAAGAAAGTGGAGTCGGACAAAATTCTTGACTTTATTAATTATCACATCCACTCAGGAGACGATCATGCAGTCCGGTGGAAATGGGAAGTAGGAAGTGTTGCCATGTGGGACAATCGGTACTTGAAACTCATGATCCGGTTCTGGGCATCGGCTTATGTGTAACTTGCAGATGCACCCTTCACCGAGTGATTCCAGGCACGTATGAAAGTCCTCGGCGGGGAATTCGAACAACCGTCTTTGGTGAAAAACGTGAGTGCGGATCTCTATACTCGAATTCGAGATGACGTTTGCTGACAAGCATCTCTTCTAGCATTTTTTGATCCTGCGAGCAAGTCTCGAAATGAAAAGGCGCGGCACAACAACACTCAAGAAAATGGAATCAAGTCTTAGGTCCTACGGAAACGTCCCATTAGCTCATAGGAGCTTATCCAAGGAATAAGGTCTGGAAGGAGAATTTTCTTGGGCCATGTTGATTTCTCTTATATTCAAATGATTTCTTGCATAACAGGCCAGATACTGTATATGATCTTCTTCCATCTAAACCTCTCCACATCAATTCACGGAGTCATTGCAAGACTCCTCATACCCATCGTCCACAAAGTTGGCCTGCCGCACTAAACTATGCACAGCCAAATGGCTATGTCGATGACGGCCTTGGTCAAATGGCGGAGAAGGGCAACACAATTCTTTGTAAATTGCCCCTGGTCGATCATGAGATAGTCGCACCAGGTCTTGCATATCTTGAATGATCCTGTCCGTAAAGGGGAGGTTGGAGAAAAACTTTTGCAAGACACTCAATGAGATTTCCGCATTTTTGATAGCCGTGGCCGTATCTGTTTGCACTTTCCAATCGGGGGAGGCTGCAAGGAAGAGACTCAGCCTCGTTGCATGATAGGCGCAGACTGCGATGTATCGTGGCAAAATTTGTTCTTTGGGTAAGTGTAATAGTTCTTGCATAATGTGGTTTATATGTTGGACGTGTTCCTCACATTTTGCAAGGGCGTGGTCTTTCATACTCGGCTCAATCGTGTCCATGATGATCCTAGGAGCAACCGCTTGATAGTTTGGAAGAAAAAGTCGATATAGATCGCAGTGCGCCTGATGCCAGGTAGCCGTCACCTGAAGGATGCGGGCGAACCACCTAGAGCGTGCCATGTCTTCTAAATTGGCAAGTGCTGCGACTTGATGGCCAACGGATAGTTCCACATCTGATTGGAATCGTAGTAAATCATTTTGTATTTCTTGTATGAGGCCCCCCAGTTGCAGCAAGGGTTGCTCGGACAAGGCGAGCTGCCGCGTAAGCCGCATGATGTCTTTTGAGATCTTCGAAAGCTGAATACAATCCGCCAGCAAGCCCCCGTCTTCAGCAGAAGCAGCACTCAAGGATGATCGGCGAGCTGTTAGCTGGCTTTGTGGGATTCCCTCTCTGAAAGCTTTCTCAGAGATAGGAAGTCGCTGATATATTATAGCGTGTGGAATGGTTTCATATTCCGGGAGTCCGACGGAGAAGAAACCGTCGATTGATGTCAGCGCCCATAATACCCTCCTCCTTGTTTCCTGAGCAATGAAACTTAGTTCTGGTCGCTCGTAGTTCAGCCTTAACGCAGTTACCGCTCGACCGGCAAGTCCTGCAAGCATATAGGCTCGAGAGAAGTGCCCGAGATGAATATGACAGTGGACTATAAGCATCAAGCACTGCAGTTGACGAATGCAAGGCCTATCAAGTTGATTCCAAATGCCTTGTTCCACAGAGTCAATGCAGAGATTAATTTTTTCCGATGGCTTTTGACCTCTTGGAAGCCACAAATCAACTGTGGTAGCAATTGACATGGCAAGATTGTGATCCAAGGTGCCACTCTCGCATTGCTGGCGAATTGTAGGCTCATGGAGAAAAGCAAACGATGGAATCGGGTAGAGATGTTGAAAGTATACATTGATACTTTCGAAAAGTTCATCACTGGTTGTAGCTGATGAAGTATCGCCTGGAACTTCTTGGGGCTGTCTGACTTCCACAAGGTTGTCAGCGATGTTGTTCGACTGGTTAGCCTGCGGGTATTGACAGGACCGCTGGCGTCGATGGCAGTTTGCGCATTCGGGGAGTTCGCCGGAGCAGCGTGCTTTTTGTCGACGACATTCAATACAGGCTTGTGTTCCCCGACGCCGCTCAGGGCGATTTTGGACGGTCTCTTTTGGGCTAGGCCGACGGTTTGTGAGAATGGAGGTGTTCTTTTTAAATGAGCATGCGAAGTCCAAACGCTCGCAGTTATTACAGCAGCCAGGTCGACGATCGCAGCGGACCTAATTTATCGAGCTGGTGGTTAGTACATCATTCTGCAGATGATTTTCTTCACGACGGGTCTGGCCTACCTTGCGACATCGGCACTGGAAACATGGAGGACGTTGGGCACGCCCCATATGGAATAATCAATTGCCAAGTAGATGATCCTCTACTTTCGTCCGGCTATAAGACCATATCAAGTGGATCTAGCGGGAGGGGAAGATCAGCGATTCAGGTTGAATCTCTCTAAGTTCAGGGGGTCATACTCCGGCATAACTGCGGCAATTTGATTTTGCGGGGTCACTGTGATGCCATCTGTCGCCGAATCACATCATTAGATATGGTGTACTTAATGCGTGCCATGTCTACACTGGGCATGGGCCGCATGGCGATAAATAATCATCAATTCGTGACCACTGGTAGAATACTAGTAGTAATGGATATGAAAATTAGCCTACGGTTAGTATCGGTAGTTTCTTTAGAATTAATGCCGCCACTAGTTTACCCAAGAGTTGTGAAATCACCTATGCACGATGGGGGTAAACCGTCAAAACTCTGCATGATTTCTGCAGCATGACTATACGGACTCGTCAGATACAGATATATACATGAAAAACACGAAAACTTGCAGATACAACTTCCCTGAAATGATCGCATGATCACATCACCATTAGACATCGGCCCGCGTTGATAGGCGGGGGAGCATGTGACATCTCCGAAAACACGTGATTTAGTCTCCACCACGAAGCTTCTCGCCGCAAAAAGTCCCCCCCAGCAGCATCAGACGACTCTCTTTCCCCCCTAATGTATCCATCATCACCGACACAATGAAGTTCTTCGAGAATAAATTCACCTACGACTATTCATTTCCCGCTGTATCCCTCGCCTACTTCCTTCGCTACCCGAACCCCTACTCCCGCCATGTCCTCACCACCGACGTGATCGATCGGTACGTCGACCCGAACACCCATCGCCTCCACACCACCCGACTACACCTAAAGAAATCCAAGGTCCCCTCGGGTATTCTGAAGTTGTTGCCCAAGGGAATGGGTGGGTCCGACAACTCCGGTCAAAGCTATATCCTCGAAACCACTATAGTCGACCCAACCGAAGGCTGGATGGAGACCGAGTCGCGCAACATGGAATGGACCGGTATCCTTAGTGTCGTGGAAAAACAACACTATCAGCGTATCCTCACGGATGAAAACATCCAAGCTCTGGATGGGCTCTCAATCGATCAGAAGAGCGAACAAACCACCGTGCGTACCACCGTGACCTTCCGATCTAGACTCGGACAGGGCAAATTCCTTAGCCGAAAGAAGGCCGGCTTTGACAACGCCGAGGCGGAAGAAGAGGAGCCCAAGAGAGGCTTCTTCTCCTCCTTGTCCACAGCCGGCATTCAGCGCACCATTGAATTGATCGGTGTTAAGCGCACGCGAGATGCTGTCCTGAAGAGCAAGCAGGGCATGAATGTCGTCCTCGAACGCCTGCGTAGCGGTGGGATCGTCGGCGTTCTGGAAGGAATGCGAGAGGACCGCGAGGCTGCATTCGGACCCGAGGGTCCCTGGAAGCGCGTCTGGCTACAGGGCAATGGTCGTTCTATTGAAGACGACGACAAATAGATCATGTGCTGCGACGGCTCTACATCTTTGTGACTATTTCCTCACTTCGATGTTGCATGGCATCTTCGCGCAATGGTCTTCTATTCATTTGCATTTACTTTCCAGCGCGGAGTTTTTGGGATTTATCATTTTTTTTCAAGCTTACGGACACTCTCCCATGACTGTTGTTGTTTTCTTTCTGTTGCCTTTCACCTGCCGCCTTTTGCATGATATGTCGAAATCACTGTACATGGCCAATTCGGTCTGCATCGAGGCAATTGCTTCGCAAGCGTGTGTATCATACTGGAATTCGGAGTGATGGAACTCTTCCTGCGAAATTTATTTGTACAATATTCAACCAAATCAAGCATATCTATTGACATCTACGTTGCACAGTTCCCTTTGCATTGAGTGTTGATAACTGTCTGGCGAGTGTCACCTGATCAGTGTGGTGGCCTTGGGCATCAGATATTACCTCTTTGGGCCTACCAGACAAGAAAGCATCGTCTACGTCAAACACCCTGCCCGTCTCCATCACTTGAACAGCGCTTATTTCTACAACACTCCACTTATAGTTTCTCATCCTTTGCTTATCTGCTAGTGCAGTTTTCGGGAACCTGTTACTTAGTTGTGTGCAAGTCGGGAATTTGTCGACCTGGAGATCTCAGCAACTACATCGCGGCAGATCTACGAGATCACCACCAGCCAGACCTATCGTCTAAGCGCACCTCTCACCCAATGGAAAAAGCAGACACCACAGGCTACCCGAATGCGAAAGATGAGGAGTCTGGGCACCCAGCAGATTACCTTGCTCAGCTAAGCTGGAATGAGCTCCCTATCTTCATGGCCATTCCCACGGCAGAGGACAGTCTTGATGACACGGCGAGGAAACTCTACAGCCTGGCTGATGCTGTCGCGAATGGCCGTAGCCTGGCACTTTCGGCCAATCAATCTTCTCTTCCTACCAGACAGACTGCCGAAAGCTTCGCCAAGGAGCGTATGCTTCCCCAAGAAAAAGAATACTACGAGATGTGGAAGGCGGGTACAATGTTTCTCCCCCATTTCGACTGGGACTCCAATCAAAGTCCGCTGCCACCCAACAGCGAGAAGACCTTTGATCATCGGGCTGCAGCCATGAACATAATTTGGGGACGTCAAGACGCCACGCCAGAAAATGCGGTCTGGCTAACCAACAATCTGTCAACCCTGCTCCCGCTGGTCAAGGCTATTAACAAACTTCAAAGTGCCGAGACACACTTGCAGAAGTTCGACCCACTCGCGAAACATAGCGAAGCTGAAGTCGCCGAGATTCAGACCCTGCAACTCATCTCTGCGACCGTCGATGCGAACGTGGCACGAGAGAAGGAACGCCTGCACCGGGTGTTTGACTCCATCAACCAGTCACAGGTAACACTGAGGGAACGGCTGAGATCTCTTGGCAAATAAAGAAGGGAATTTCCTTGTTTGGCCTTCCCTTGGGGGCGGGGGGGAAACGATGGATACGAGATTGC